GATCTTCTTGAGCCATTTTTGATCTGTTCCCGCCCATTAAGTATGAGGAGCGGAGCCTTAGGGGTGGGGCGGTGCCACCAGGGAGGTGTAGCTGGGTTGCGACACTGTACTTGGGGGTGTGGTCAGAGCAAGGAAATGGCGGCCCTCTCTGCTGCCTCCTGCTGCTGGGGCCCTGCTCTGTCCCATCTCACTGCCCATTCCCTCGCCCGTCTATCTGTGCAGCAATGCACCACCACAGTCAACCTGCCACACTGCACCCTCACTGGATCCAGTTGCTCCCTGGGTCACTCACTAGGTCACTCACTGGGTCGGCCCTTTGCAACCTCACGCCTGGGATCCGCATGCCTGGGTCCTTCTCACCGAGTTTTCCTGTGCAACCCCGCTCCACCAGCTGCTGGCTTTGCCCCTCTTACCAGTCAGGCTGAAGAATTTCTTATTATCAGACTTCCAAAAAGTTCAATTTTCTGTGTTCTGACTGTGTTTTCTGTTGCTAATATTTTGTTGTCTCTAAACTTGGTTGTGTGAGAAAGCACAGTATCTCTACATATGCCTCAATCTTGGTGGAAGTCCTAGCAAATATATTCTTTATACAAATAATTGTATCTAAAATACACATACAGAATAAATATGACTGTAAACACATTAAGGGATATAATGGGTAAGGTAGAAGAAACACAAACTAACAGAAAAGTTAATGGAAAACAATAAGGTTATCTCAGTGGATTGAGCACAGGCCTGCAAACCAAAAGATTGCGGTTTGATTCCCCATCAGGGGACATGCCTGGGTTGCAGGCCAGTTCCCAGCAGGGGCCAGTTCCCAGCAGGGTATGCACCAGAAGCAACCATACATTGATATTTCTCTCTTTCTCTCCTTCCCTTCCCTTCACTTCCCTTCCCTTCTCTTCCCAAGATAAATAAATTAAATTAAAAGAAAATAAAACAATAAGGTTATAACCATAATTATAGATTTAATGAATGTAAAAGCAAAGGAAACCCAACACATTATAACAATTATCTGAAGAAAGAAAAACTAAACAAATAAAATGGACAAAAGATCTAAAGATATAGCAGAGGAAAATATTCTTGTTTTTCTATTTATTTTAATTGTTGTTCAAATACAGTCTTCTGTCTTTTACTCCCATCCCAGATCACCCCCCCCAGTGCTCCCCACCTCCCTCCCAATATTCTTAAAGTAAAGGTGTACCTGGATTTGTGCTCAAAAGATCACACACCAAGACATAGCTGGGTGATGTTTCCAAATCTCAAGGGTAAATAAAAAATAAGATAGGCTTCTATACAGAAAAAGAAAATGGACATGATATATGGTTATCCTCAAAATATTTCCATCAGTTTTTGATACAGTTCTCATCAACGGGTTCTCAACATCCTTTCTCCTTAATTAATGGTTAGGGATGTTTATAGGTAACAATTCAGTAGAAGTGATGGGATGTTCTGAGGTTAGGTTATAAAAAGGATATGAAAATGTTGCTTCTAGCTTGGTTCACATGGGCTCTCTTTCTATCTCTATCTTTTTAATTACTCATTCTTGGGAAAGTCACTTGTTATTAAACACCCAAGAAACCTATAGAGAGGCCTATGTAGTGAGAACTGACTCCTGTTAACAACTATGTGAGTTAAGACTGGAAGCAGATTCTTCAGCCCCAGTCAATAGCTTAATGCAACTTCATAGAGACTCTGAGGCAGAATCATTCAGCCAATTTGTTCCCAGATTTCTTACCCACAGAAACTGTAAGATAATAAGTATTTGCTCTTTTCACCAAGTTTTGGGGTAATTTGTTCTGTAGCAATAGATAACTAACATGTGATTCAAGATGTAAACCGTTGTTCTCATAATTTTCCACATCCATATTCCAATCCAGAAGATGAGCAAATCTACAAAGTTCAGAGGGAAATAAAACACGATCCAGGAATTTTAAAGTTAGCTGAGTTGCTCATATGTATATATAATAGACAGACATGCTCAAGAATGTAAAAACAGGGTACACAACTGTGAAATCCTTTTTTAAAAAAATTGAGATAATTACAGTCAAACATTGAAGAGATTAAAATTCTAAAGTTCAATAATAAAAAGGCATGACAAAAAATTAGTGTTGGATGCCAAATTCAATGAGTATCCCTTTAAATAAGGGTCAATAGATAGATGATTTTTGACATTAATTCAATGCCAACAGACAATGAAGAAGGAAAATTCACTCAGTGAAAATAGCTTAATTGTGACACAGCAGGGCTGTGAGAACAGCTCAATAATGTTAGAGCTCAATTATGAGACAGCACCTCTGTGAGACAGCTGTGGGGCCAGGCAGCCCTGGAGCGAGGGTACTGCTCTGCTCTGGTCTACTCCATTCTACTCTGTGTCATGCTGGTCTGTGCTGATCTGCTCCACTCTGTCTACTCTGCCAAGATGGTGTTTTATCTTTGGTGTTCCAACTTCAGCCAGGGAAACACAAGGTTCAGTATTCCATGGAAAGGCAGAGTACACTCTGTAAGCCAGAGGGGAGCCAACTTACATAGGAAGTCCCTGCACGTGGTCCCTGATTGGTCTGATCTCATGAAAATAAGGACTTACTATTTTTTTCAAATGAGGACTTTAAATTCTTGAAGTTTATTAGTCCAGAAAGCACTGGATTGGTTAGAATGGTGACTGGTCAGTGAAGATGCCAATGAGCATGTAATAACTGCACAGCTCTGATTAGATGGGGAAAGCCTCAGTACCATTAGTTGAAATAGAATTCCAAGGGCTTTTTTTTTGTAAGGACTGGCTCATATGGTAGGCAGACAATTCAGTCCAGGAGGCAGGCAACTTTAGGAAAAATTGCATTTTTTAAAAAACTTTACTTCCTACAAGCTAAATAAAAATAATACCTTCCCCATAACAACATAGGTTTCAAATGAGTTTCCTAGGTTACAGTATCTAAGTCCCTACCCAATACATAATATTTTGGAAGTTTCTCTAAGGAAGGGACCCTAAAAAGGGGTTTGCATGAGAGACACCTGTTTAGGTAGTATGGACATTTTGATGATGTTAATTCTTCCAATCCATGAACCCAGTATATGCTTGCATTTGTTTGTGTCTTCCTTAATTTCTTTCTTCAGTGTTGTGTAGTTTTCTGAGTACAGGTCTTTTACTTTACTAGTTAGTTTTATTCTTAGGTACTTTATTTTTCTTGTTGCTGTATCAAATGGGATTTTTTCCCTGATTTCTATTTCTGATATTTCATTGATGGTGAGACACCTTTTTAGAAATGGCTGCTATGTTCTGCTTTTAAATTTGAGCCCAGTTAGCAATCCAGAATCCTTCTTTGTAGGTCTTTTCTCTCAGGGTGCACATAAGTAAAACTAAATTGTGAGAGATTTAGTGGGGATGTGGAATACAAATGTTATAAACCTGACAATGTATAAATAATAATATAATTCATAAAATTCATGAATAAAGAGATAAGTGTAAATGTTCTAATTTTTTCACTTTTTACCATGAAGTAAAAATATACAGTTCAAAGTTGAAATGTATTAAAAATTACTGATATCAATGCTAAGTGAAATAAGTCAAAGACCAATACTATATGATTTAACTTATATGTGGAATCTAAAAAACAAAATAAATGAACAAAATAGAAACAGACCCATAAATGCAGAGAAGACACTGATGATTGCTGGAAGAGTGGGGGCTTTGGGGAGCTGGGTGAAAAAGGTAAACAGATTAGAAGAACAAATTGGTAGTTACAAAATAGTCACAGGATGTAAAGTGCAGCATAAGGAATACAGTCAATAATATTGTAATAACTATGAATGGTTTCAGGTAGGTATTTGAAATTTTGGGGGGCTGTTTTGTAAAGTATATGGTTGTCTATTAGGTAGAAGTTAGAGTGTAGAAAGAAGAGGGGTTAGAGGGGGTCCACAGTAGTTACAGAAAAAAAAAACATAAATAACTTTGGTTAACTGCCTTGCCTTTGATTAACTGCCTCCAGTAATGTATCTGTTTTAAGAGGGGTCCATAATGTTTACAGACAAAGCCTGTAAATAACTTTGGTTAACTGCATTAATTTTGATTAACTGTCTTGGGTCACATATCTGTTTTACAATGGATGACCAGATGTGGTCTGGAGCAAAGATAAGGACCCTGGGAAATAGATCCGCACACATGCTTACCTTTAGGTGGTCATGTCCTCCTGGAAAGGCACAGACACCACCTTTATATGCCAATCATTGTGGGGTAACTCCCTCACCCACGAACTGTGTAAGTTCTCAGGACAAAGGGACCAGGGGCCTATGCCTCTCTCATCCACCTCAGGGAAAAGAACTTTAATTACTAATAAACTCTCCTTGTATACTGACTACTTGCTGAGCTTTAATTCTTTACTGTGTAGGAAAGAAGAACTGAGTTTCCAACATTTCCATTACCTTGCACACTTGAAGCTAATACAAAATAGTATTGAATGTAAATTGTAATTGAAAAATAAATTTAAAAATAATTACCTCAATTTCAGTGTTTATAATCATTTTTTAAAAGAGATCTTTGAGAAACTATTAGATTCTCCGGGAAAGTCTGAATAATTCTGACAGTTACAGTTTAGCTTGTTTTCTTAAAATTTAATTTGCATTTTACTTTAAATTAACTTGACCTTGTACTAGAAAAGTATCTCTCCATACTTCTATGTGTTTAATGCTTGTAGAGATATCTGGAATGATGGTCATGACACATTAAAAATATTTTTTTACCACAGTTTGGGGTGATTGTTATATATTACAAGGCGTGTGAAGTCCTCCGCAGAGGGCATCCCTGGTTGGCATCGCAGAGGCTGGGTTGTCCAGAGAAGTGCTCACAAAATCGCAGTAACGAGGGTTTGCAGCACTAAGGTACGCAGGTTTGCACCCAACCATTCTGGAAAGGTAAGTGTCACCTATTCTTGTGAGCTGGAGTGGGGAGGCACCACGTGACAAGGCAGTGCGCGCGGCGCGAGTCCACGGGGGCGGGCGGGGCGAGCGGTGGTCCGAGGGATTTGCTGCTGGTGTGGATCGTGGGCGGTGCTTTGAGGTTTGTCCATCCAAACTCAGCCTTAGGCGCTCCGTTGGAGTTCGAGTATCCGCCTTTCGTAGCAGGCCTGGTCGCACCCGGCCGGGAGCGACTTTGAGGCCCTGTCGCAGCCACCGCTGCCGCCGTTGTCGCGTACACCACCGTCGCCGGGGCGGGTGAAGTTGGGCGCTGTCCGCAACCGCCGCCTAGGCGGTGTCCACGGCGTGCCCATGTCGCTGCCTGGGCGCCGGGGCCGCCTGTCTTCCCCCGGAACCAGTCGCCAGTCCGCGGAGGCCTGCGAAAAGCTACGGCGCCGTCTCCTGGGCCTCATCGAGGGCAACCGAGTGATGATTTTCAGCAAGAGCTACTGTCCGCACTGCACGCGGGTAGGCGGGGCCGGCTTGGGAAATGCAGTGAGAGCCTGGGGGAGACCGGGTCTTCGGGATCCCAGGCTGGTCCTGCCTTCTGAGACCCCGGACCTCTGACTGGAGCGTTCCTGTTCCACTCTCGGAAGTGCATCCGCGAGACCCAACTACCGCTCGGGGGGGGGGGGGGTACCCGGAACTCGTTTTCCGGGGTGGTATACAAGAAGCCTGGACCAGAACCTTTTGCTTTGCTCCTTTGGCACCGTGGGTGAGCCGGCCGCGTGGGAGGGCCTTCCGAAGCTACCACAACGGCCTAGACTCCGCAGAAATGTTATAGGACCGAGGCCCGTGGGGTTAACCGACTAGCGGTTAACCTAAGGACTAGCCTTTTCCTCCTGGTTGTTAGTTTGTTGTTGGCTTACTTATCAAGTGTTTATCCAGAAGAATAAAAGATAGTTCTAAAAACTTTTGACCTGATAAGAGTAGTGCAAGGAGAGGCCAGGACTTGGGAATAGTAGTCGGAGCTGGAGACAGATCCAACTTCCTAACTGCTTGATCTTGACCAGGTTACAGAACTCTGCGGAGCTTTGGTTTCCACATTTTGTAAAATGAATGCGAGGAAGGGTGTGAAGGTGGCACGAGGTGATGTAATTTCAGCTGTGCTTCATAATACTTTAACTTTGGGGACTAACTGGGAATCCAGCATTTTTATGGACAAATTTGTTCTGAGGTTTAAAATAACTCACTTAGAAATGAACCTTTGGAAGATAACCCCATCTGAGTAATACGGACTTTTAATATTTTTAAATATACTTATTATCAGAAAGCTGAAATGGTATATGAAAAAACAAACTATTGGGTAGTTTCATGAAATTATAGGCTATGTTTTCAAATTTATTTTTAAGTACTCATTGCCTTACAATTGTTTAATAAAACTTGCATATACATCTTAAAGAATAAAGAAACAGCCCTGGCTGGTGTAGCTCAGTGAATTGAGCACAGGCCTGCTAACCAGAGGATCACGGTTGGATTCCCAGTCAGGGCACATGCCTGGGTTGCAGGCTGGTTCCCTACAGGCCAGTTCCCAGCAGGGTATGCAGAAAGGCAACCATACATTGATGTTTCTCTTCCTCTCTCCTTCTCCTCTAAAAATAAATAAATAAAATCTTAAAAAAAAAAGAATAAGGAAACAAAGTAGTACTCTCTGGAAGACTTCTTAGATATCTCATCCTGATTACATTTTCCTTTCTCCCCTTAGCGTGAACCACTATCCAAAATTTCTTGCTTTTCTTTGCATTTTTTACCAAATACACATATATTCCTGAAACTATTTTGTTCCTTTTGGCTTGTTTTGGTACTTCATCTAAGTAGAATCATATCATAGTTGATTGATTCTGGTGTTTCTAGTATTTTGCTCTTAAAAACAACACAGCTGTGCCTGTTCTTACATATATCTTTCAGTGCATATATAAGACTTTAGCTGAAGCTGAAGTCATAAAGGATACATGATTTCTACCTTAACAGGTGATGATACCAAACTGTTTTTCCAAATGATTATACCAGTTACTCTCCCACTAGCTGTGGGTATCACTTCTGCTTTGCTTCATATCCTTGTCAACAGTTGATATATTTAATTATTGCCTGCATAATGGCAATTATGAAATGGTATTTTGTTGTGGCTTTAGATTTACATTTCCTGATGAAGTTGAACATTTTTTCATGCATTTATGGATCATTTGCATTTCCACTTCTATGAAACTTTCAGGCCTTTTGCTTTTTTCTCAGGTTGTTTTATTTTTGTACTGATTTGTAGGTATTCTTTATATTTTGGATATAATATAGGATATAATCAAAGGATTCTAGGATATAATAAGGATTATACCTACAATCCTAATAAGGATTATACCTAGGATATAAGGATTATATCCTAGAATCCTTTGGTTATATGTATTGAGAAGTCTCCCAGATTTTTTTTTCATACTCTTTATGGGATCTTTTGGTTAACTGAAGTTTGCAAGTTTAATGTAGTTGTGTTACTGGAGAAACCTTGGTTCTTCTTGCTGATGTAGTAAAGAATTACAGGTCAGCAAGCCTATTACCCTGCAAGTAAAGTTTATTAGTAAATGGGAGAGCAAAAGCAAGGGTGGAAAAAGCAAGGGTGGGCAGCTCCCAGGTGGCCAGAGGCTGGTTGGCCAGAAAGGGGTGGTCAGAGGCCCCCACCATGTGACAGTGTTATGGGAAAGACTCAGACCAAACACTGGAGGAAGCAAAGTGGAACCTTTATTTTGCATTAGGACCCAGAGGATGCAGTCTCCAAATTCTGGGCCCCAGTCAGCAGGGAGCAATTGCTTATATAGGGTGAGGGGCAGTCTGTCACTTAGACTGTTAATTCTGGCACGAAAGTAAGAAGCAAAGGAAAAAACAAGTCATTCCCTGGGTATTGTGCTATGTTTTAAAATAACTGCCAACTTCCTCTAACAACAAGAGAGCCAAAAGCCAAGAGAAGAGCAGGAGTCCTTTGTTCTGAGGACTCACATAGTTGGTAGGATAGAAGTGAGAGAGTTACATGTTGATTGACAGGTAAAGGTGATACCAGGTTTCTGTGGGGCTATGACCGCCTAAACATAGGTATGAGTGGGGTCTGTTAGCCCTGAATCCTTATCTTGCCTCAGACAGTTTGCTCCTTTTGTACAGGAGGCAGGCAGTTAACCAAAGTGGTTTATGGGCTTTTTTCTTTCGGGCACTGTAGACTGCCACGCCTTCTCCTTTCTAGGCCTTGGGATGAATACACAATGTCAGGATTTGCCTTTTACCAGCTAGTGGAGATGAAACACACAGACTTTCAAGGGCTTCCCTCCTGCACTATCATAGTTTACTTGTGTTATTCAGAATGCCTGGCAGCCTCAATAGACCAGGCTCAGAATTCCTGGGTAAATAGGTTAGAAAAATCCACCTTTGCTTTTAGCCTTCTGAATTAAATTCTTTCTTAGATTGCAATGGTGAAGTCCCAGCCTTTATTTCCCCTCTGGCCCTTCATTCCTAGCTGCTACCTAATTTTGGTAGGTGTTGCCTGGCAACCAGGACACAGTAGTCTCTGGCCAGCAACAGTAGCCCAGTCTCATATGCTATCTTCTGTAACAGTTGAATCTATCATTCTTTTCCTTTAAGGTTTGTGCTTTTTGTGTCTTATTTTAAGAATAAGACTGTGTCTACTTTGAGGTCATTAAGATAACACATTGGTTTTAGTTCTTGAAATTTTAGAGTATGTTTTTCACACTCACCTTCTTTATTCTACCTGGACTTGATGCCGGCAGTGAGTGGGGAGACATTTCATTTTTTTCTTTAAGACTTATCGGTTATCTCTGCTTCATTTATTGGAGAGTACATGCTTTCCATGCTAATTTGAATGCTCTCACATATGCATTGGTCTGTTTCCAGGCTCTGTCTCCTATCTATTTTTAATTTTTATTATTTTTTAAATTTATTTTATTTTGATTTAATCTTTACTGTATTTTTTCATTACCTTATACATCCCTCTCCCCAAAAATCTCCACACTGTTGTCCATGTCCATGAATCCTTTTTCCTCAATCCCTTCACCCCATCACCTCCCTGCCTCCATTAGCTGTCCTCCTGGTCTCCATCTATGAGTCTGTGCCATTTTCCTTGTTAGTTCAGTTTGTTCATTAGATTACACATATTAGTGAAATCACATGGTATTTGTCTTTCTCTGACTGGCTTATCTCACTTAGCATAATGTTCTCCAGGTCCATCCATATTGTCCTAAAGGGTACAATTTTCTTCTTTTTTACAGCCAAGTAGTATCCCATTGTGTAAATGTCCCATAGTTGTTTTATCCACTCATCTACTGATGGACACTTGGGCTGCTTCTATACCTTGGTGACTGTAAATAATGCTGCAATGAATATAAAGGTGCTTATGTTCTTTTGAATTAGTGCTTTGGGTTCCTTTGGATATATTCTCAGAAGTGGGATCACTGAGTCAAAAGGCTCATCCATTTTTAAGTTTTTGAGGTATCTACACACTGCTTTCCACAGTGGCTGCACCAGTCTGCATTCCCACCAACAGTGCAAAAGGGTTCCCTTTTCTCCACATCCTTGGCGGCACTTGTTTGTTGATTTATGGATGATAGCCATTCTGGCAGGTATCTCATTGTGGTTTTCATTTGTAGTTCTCTGATGAATAGTGACATCAAGCATCCTGTTATGTGCTTTATTAGTCATCTGTATGTCCTCTTTGGAGAGGTATGTATTCAGGACCTTTGCCCATTTTTTAAAATTGGGTTGGTTTGTTTTTTTGGTGTTGAGTTTTGTAAGTTCTTGATAACTTTTAGATATTAACCCTTTATCAGATGTATTGGTGAATATATTTTCCCATTCTGTGAGTTGTCTTTTTATTTTGTTGATGATTTCCTTTGCTGTGCAAAAACGTCTTAGTTTTATGTAGTCCATTTGTCTATTTTTTTCTTTTGTTTCCATTCCCTGGGGAGATATATCCCATAAAATATTGCCTCAAGCAGTGTCTGAGATTTTGCTGCCTATGTTTTCTTCTATAATTTTTATGGTTTTGGGTCTAACATTTAAGTCTTTGATCCATTTATTCTTGTGTGTGTTGTAAGAAGGTGGTTTGGTTTAATTTTTCTACTCATATTTGTTCAATTTTCCCAACACCATTTAATGAATACACTTTAGTCCATTATATGTATTTGCTTCCTCTGTCTAGTATTAAATGACTATAAAGGTGTGGGTTTATTTCTGAGTTCTCTATTTTGTTCCATTTATCTGTGTGTCTGTTTTTATGCCAGCACCAGGCGGTTTGAATTACTGTGGCCTCATAGTATAGTTTCACTTTAGGTAGTGTGATTCCCTGACATTGTAATTCTTTCTCAAGATTGCTGTTGCTATGCAGGGCCTTTTGTGATTCCATATAAATTTTTAAAATATTTGTTCTACTGTGAAATATGCCATTGGAATCTTGACAGGAGTTGTGTTAAAGCTGTAAA